ATGGAATAGGTTTCTCACCGCATGAGCCGGCCAGATTGTTGGCCGGTACTTTGAAGCCCCTCACCGGGCAATCTAATACTCACATTAAGAATCTATATGACTTTGCCAACAAAGTAGTGGGGGTCACCGTTGAACCAGATGCAGTCCTTGTAGGTTTCGATGTCAACTCGTTATAACCAAATGTGCCAAAAGGGGACTCTTTAGAAATAGCTAAGCGACTCCGACTAGCAGACACCACCCTTTCAGAACGGACACAGTTTACGGCGGATGAAATAGTGGAAGGCATAAACACATGTATGAATCCCACCATTTTCGTTTTCAACTTCATGGTTTGCACTCAAGAACGAGGTCTAGGTCAACCTCGGGTATACTGGCATTTTCAGAATGTATGACACATAAGATCGAGGTGAAACTAAAGACCACAGTGTACAAGAAGCCAACCGACACTGGGGCAGTTTTGAACTACTCTTTTGTTCATCCGAAATCGGTATTCGCTAGTATTGCCCCATCAGTCTTTAAGTGTGTAAGGGCCCCGTGCACAGAAGCTGATCGGACAGCGGCCCAAATTGAAATAAAGAATAAACTTCGGGATAGTGGATGTCAAGCCAGTTTCATTAGGCGTCAATTATGAAGGGTGCTAGTACCGGTGGCGAAACTCAAACGGAATGGTGTGGCATGGCTGTTATTCCATAGAAACCAGGGATATCGGAGATTATTTGAAGGATTCTAAACACGGCCAACACAAGAGTAGCGTTCCAGGGAAGAAACATCCTGCGCCTTGCACTGGTGCAATTGAAGGTTTGCCTTCCGGCGAACATAACTAGGGACTGTCTGCAAAAGCAACTGTAAAGACAGACCGCCAGGGAACTTCACGCCAGAATCGGAGTGCATAAGAGGAAAATAAACAGGTCACTAAGAAGCGCTAATGAATATCGAGCGCTACTAAAAGACTCAGCAGTTGCATAATGTGCACTGGACACTGGGTTGATGACTTGAAGCGAGGACTACGGTCCACGTCACAGAGACCCAGGCGGTAGAAATCGTCAAGCATCCGAGTGTTGACAGAATGGAAGGCGTGGAGCTCGCAAGCGTGTGAAGAACGGTTTTAGATCAGTCGAGCTGACGCGTGTTGGTGTGCGGTCATCGGAAGGAGAGATAGTCAGCATCTGAACTTCACTTGACCTAACCCACCCCACCAAGTAAATCGCCGCAGCCCCACAAAGACCAACGAAATCTATCAGTGACAGCCGCGGTGAGCGAGGACTACGGTCCACGTCACAGAGACCCAGGCGGTAGAAATCGTCAAGCATCCGAGTGTTAACAGAATAGAAGGCGTGGAGCTCGCAAGCGTGTGAAGAACGGTTTTAGATCAGTTGAGCTGACGCGTGTTGGTGTGCGGTCATCGGAAGGAGAGATAGTCAGCATCTGAACTTCACTTGACCTAACCCACCCCACCAAGTAAATCGCCGCAGCCCCACAAAGACCAACGAAATCTATCAGTGACAGCCGCGGTGAATCATCAGTTGAAGCGAAGGAAGTGAAAGATTAAGGAACCAAACCCAATCAGAATTAATTTGAAATTTCCCCCTCCAAATCCATCAACGCAAGATCTTGACAAACACACAAACCGACAAGAGTTGTTAATTGACACTCAAAAACTGATCTAGTGTGATGAAGATTTACTGATTGGTTCCTTGTCTGCCTTAAAACCTGGCCAACTTGGTGACCTGCTTGGTTTGATGAAACTTTTGTGTCAAAAGCGAAACGTTGCCCATACAAAAACTACCGATTGTTTACCAAGCCCTTCTGAAACCACTGAAACTTGGTTCGTCGGAGCCCTCCAAACTGCTCCTTTGTCAAATTTTCACATTCACGACAATTCATAGAAAAACTTTTTTCCACAAATACAGTGCAAAACCGAGAGTGTGCAACTCATGGTATGTGGCGAATATTAGAAAGGAATGAATCCTATTCACTGCTCCTTTGAACAGTATGGACAATTATTTTATTCTCGCTCCTCACATAGTTTTACGTATCTCTAAGATCTCACCATCATTCCTCTCGAAAAGAAGGCCGTCTTATTGTGACTTTGCAACGATACCCGAACTCAGCCATAAACTGAAGTCCGATTTGTCGAAATATATGTAGCTCGGGTGTGTTTACTGTTGGTTGATAAGATGGTAGTTGATCTGTTCGCCGAGCTTGACAGCTCAGCTTGGCAACTCAACAGCTTGGCCCACTTAAATGCACACTGACGATGTCTCCACGACCGGGAACGAAACGTTTGCAAACCAATTGCTAAACTCGGCAAAAGGACCAAGTGCAATCTGATCATCCAAAAGTGAACTAATATCCCGATTCTTTATTAAAAAATTCGAATTGTTAATCAAACTTTCCTTTAATATTATTGTCTTTAAGTTGTTTCCTGTCAGTTGGTATTCCACCTTGGCACGAAGTACTCTGGGTTCGACCTCACCTGTACATAGGTCAGACAAACTATGGTGTCCAATGATGTACCTACGTGTATTAAATTCCATTTCAAAAAGAACTTGAGTCCGAAACACCCCACGGAGGATTTAAAGTAATAATTTACAACATTTCATTCATTTTCATACATTTCCGGTAGTTGAAGTGAGGAATAATTAAGAATCAGTCTTCCTAACTCGTGCGCTTAATTTAAAGGAAGGGGCATCTTGAACATTGAGTATTGCTTAAGAATTTCTTCGCTATTCTGGATCCTGCCGATTTGAAGATCGATATTAGTTGGTCAGTGCCACATTTTGTTCACGTTCTGGTATCCACTCTCAGAGGCACCTTAATGGAGGGCATACAACACCATTGTCTCTTTTTCTTGATCTTTACAAATTGTCGCTTTTTAAAAAGGATTATGATGTAGCGTGCGCAACATATGGTTTCTCGTGTGCTATGTACCTGCACAAGAGAACGGGATTCTGTAAGGTGTCCTGAAAGCTGCTTTTGATCAGTTATTCTAAGTAAGTAGAAAAATCGATCATTATTTTACTGTGCTTGAACAGTGAGTCTAATAGGGACGATCCGAGGATTAGAGCGGAAGATTCTGAATGCATACTGCTGGGATACTGAGGGATGGTCCGATTGAGCTTATTCTGGATCATGTAACATCACGGTCGATTTGCTTTGAACGTTCGGAGATGCACAAGTTGTTAATTTAATTACTTTGCCCCTGTACTGACTCAAATGCTTACGTTTCAGGCCTAATTGTGTGTTCGTCGCACTTGATGTATTCATAGCATCAATACTGCAGTGGATTTCTGTAGGAAGGAAGCAGTTATGATGGAGAAGCGATCCAACATATTTCCACGGTGGCAAATTACGTTGCTGGTTCTCATGCGTTTTTAGAACGACAGTAGGGGCATTCACTGGCTTCCACGAGTTGGTACAGGAAGAAGTTTCATATAGTCCGCGATGGTTTTTATCTCAATCCCACTCCAAGCTTTGGCCTGTATAAACCAGAACATACGCAATACTGTTGGTTGTCCCACTGGTTTGATTTATATGATTCGTGGTTCCCCTAGAGCACAAGTTTCTTCTTCAATATGTTTACAGAATAAGCGAGGGTGTTGGCAGGGTTTTTCTTCTGGAGATAAGAAGTAGCGTACATATGCGTATATATATATATATATATATATATATATATATATATATATATATATATATATATATATATATATATATATATATATATATATATATATATATATATATATATATATATATATATATATATATATATATATATATATATATATATATATATATATATATATATATATATATATATATATATATATATATATATATATATATATATATATATATATATATATATATATATATATATATATATATATATATATATATATATATATATATATATATATATATATATATATATATATATATATATATATATATATATATATATATATATATATATATATATATATATATATATATATATATATATATATATATATATATATATATATATATATATATATATATATATATATATATATATATATATATATATATATATATATATATATATATATATATATATATATATATATATATATATATATATATATATATATATATATATATATATATATATATATATATATATATATATATATATATATATATATATATATATATATATATATATATATATATATATATATATATATATATATATATATATATATATATATATATATATATATATATATATATATATATATATATATATATATATATATATATATATATATATATATATATATATATATATATATATATATATATATATATATATATATATATATATATATATATATATATATATATATATATATATATATATATATATATATATATATATATATATATATATATATATATAGCGTTCGTTGATGAGGTGATCAGGACTGAATCCCCTTCGTGTCTTTTATATATCAGTTACCAGCGTTCTGGATTACACATAAAGTTAGGCTGGAAGTTTAAAGTAATGTCCCATTGGATAAAAAATAAACACCGCCAGTAATTATACCTGAATTGTGTTACCTTTAGTTGTTCCCTTTACCTCATGGGTTCGTCTCTGAGACTATCAAAGATTTGAAAACAGATAAGAAAACACTGGACCAAACTGTTACCAGTTAAACTCTAAAAAATGTGGGATTAATCTCACATCAAATTGGAGATACGTTAATACGGTCGATAAATCGTGCAGGGAAATTCCGCCAGCGTTCCTGCTAATTGGCACTGAAATTTTGCTGTTAAATTACTATTTCAGCTCCTGCGTTGGGCGAAGTACCACATCAAGCGTACACGATGACCAGCACATCAAACATGTGAACAAAATAAGTCAAACAGTTTGTTAACTCTCTATCGTAGAGTTATCGGACTAAAACTTGTCACTATTTACTGTTTATTTCACCCTCAATCGGAAAACTCACCTGACTAGTCCTAATAACCCCTGTTTCTGGTTCCATTACGAAATACTTGTTCGATTCTATCCGAGATAAACCAGCATCATCCATAGCGGTTGCCGATTCCGAGCGTCCAGATTCATCCCAAGTTGATTGTTCCGTGTTAACTGGAGCAAAGTAATATCTCAGAACAGCACCACGATCGCGATCTGTGGCAGTGATTGTGAGTATTTCCTTCCCGGCTGGGGAATTTTCCGAAACACGTCCAACGTACACACGGCGAGAAAATTCCGGTTGGAACTCATTCACATCCACTACCCGGACAGTGATCACACGAGCCGAAGTGAGAGCATGCGGTTTCCCAAAATCGTGACAAACAACCTTGGTGCTCACAACAGGTTCGATTTCATAGTCATACATCCGTGAAGTCCGTAGGGAATATATTCCAGGAGCACTGAGAGTTAAAATGAAGTTAGGTGATACTGATCCGCCAATGAATGGTCTGTTGAGGTCGTCGCCACTGGACTCATTCAGGCTGCAGGTGACGCGAGAATTTTCACCCACATCTGCATCGCGCACGGTCAGTACAGCAACTTGACTAGGTGGCGTATTTTCGAATATACTCAAGCTCTCCCTGAAAGACGCTTCACTAGACTTTTGTCCCGTGAAATCCGGCGGTGGTGGGTTAGCAGATGCAAGTGCTGCTCCAGCAGCCACGGTGTGAATGGTTGGCGCAAAGTTGTTAATGTCTTCCACTAGAAGGGTTATTTCAGCAGTGGAGTTTTCGTCCCCTGCACACGCAGGATTGACCGCATCACATGCGATAACTTTAAACCGATAGTTGTCCCGGATGTTTGCTGCTAATGGCCGTTTCAGTCGGATCTCACCAGTGTCACGGACTAATTCGAATGTTTCGAACAAGTCAGGGTCTACTGTACCGTGTAATGCATACAGAACGCGGCCCCGGTCACCCGCATCCAAATCGGTGGCATTCAAATGTAGGACCACCTCACCAACTTTAATATTTTCTTGAAGCTGTTTCTTGTATCGTGTCACCTTAAAAATAGGCTTGTTATCGTTTTCATCCAAAATCTGGATCTCTAACGTCTGACGAGCACAAGCACCCGGGTCACATGCTTCCAAATTAGCTGTATATAATTCCGTTTTCTCACGATCTAGAGGCCTAGTCAGCTGCAATCTTACCGATGGAAGTTCTGTTAGGTCTAAAACAAATGTTCCGGTAGGTTCAATTAAGCTATATCTCTGTATTTGATTGACTGGTTCAATGTCGGCATCAGTTGCTGGAACTAGATTTATATGTGTGCCAACCAAGGCAGATTCAGATATAGCTACTTTCTGACTGGGGGATGTGAAAGCTGGTCGGTTGTCATTTTGGTCCTGTATGTCCACTTTCAAATTAACAGTGGCAGCAAATTCACCGGTTTCTTTGTTCGTGATAAAAACTGACGCATCGAGTTGACAAGCCAAGACACCACAACATATTTTAAAGTCTGGGCACAACCGTTCACGATCGATCAGACGAGCTACTCCAACTTCACCCGTGTTAGGGGCTACGGAGAAAAATGTATTATCTGTTAAAAAATGCAGTTTAGTTCCCAGTGTTGCAGGGAGTGAGGAAGACACGGATCCTATTCTTGTATGGGGTGGAGTTTCTTCACGCATTTGCAAATGCACCTGCACTTCTTCCGCGCATTCACAGGAAGCCAAAATTACTAGAAGCAGTAATGTACAATATCGGCCGGAGTAATTCATGTCCACAAGGAATTGGCAGCTGTAGTATTGTGTTCGTTCGAGAAAAAACAGCGACTTTGAATTGAAGTAAAACTCCAGTCGGTAAGCAATGCAGTTGGTTTTGTCGTAATCACATTTTTATTACTGTTTGTCTGCAAATTCTGCGATCTTATGAGGTAGGTCATCAAACGGTACCAAACCTTTTTGGAAATCACAGTTCGTCGAAGGGTGCGTCTGAAAAGCTGTAATACGGTCGTCTGGTTATCGTTTTTTCTGTGAACACTTGAAAGTGTCGATCACTTGGTGATCATCCAACGGAGAGTCTAACGTCTACCGCATGATCCTGGGGCAAAGTAGCACATGTGATAAAATTCGCGGGCGGTGATCTTGCCAACACGCGCGCCGGATAGATACAGACACGTGCCATAGACGGTGATGTGAAATTTTGGACCATAAGGATGTTGGTGAACGGACAGGCTTCGGGATGAGATTTGGCCGTGTCCTCAGAGCGCCCTGAATAACACACGAGCGTTTGGACGTACGCCACACGTGATGGAGGTGCTGACACGGTTTAAACAGCGTGATTGTGCACCCAGGCAACAACATACAGTCATGGTACTAACACACCGACGAAGCATCCGTTTTCCTACTGGCAGTGTCCATTAGACCGATCATCCTTTGATAGGCCAATCGGTCTTTGGACGACAAACGACCGTTTGTGTGCATGGGTTTGGCAATCTGGCCTAATCGATACGGCACAGAAATCGGTGCCAACCAGGCAATAAATCGATAACTGGGCATCAATTCTGATCAGGTTTGGCTTTGGCATGGCCAATGGGATGTGCCATGTTGTGTTTTCTCTTGTGTGGGCTAAATGTTGATGGAGAGACTCTCGTTGACAGGAGGTAAGATGATACGAACCAGGTGCAGCTGTGTGATGAAACTTCAGCTGCGTTTGGTGGTGCAGAGCGCACTTATTCTTCATTGAACTTCAAAGCGTACGCACTAAGTATATATCGAATCACTAGTTATGTTTTCAACTCAACTCTGTCTACGTAACGGAGGTTGATAGTCTCAAAAAGATCCTGGGAAAACGAGGTACCCGGAAATTTTCAAAAATGCCATGCGACTTAGAAAGGATTCATCGCTTTTTGTTCAGGCCACTTTTTGAATAATTGAGCAACCTTATTTTTGGGCAATCACAATTTTCTTACTTTCAAACAGGATCCATTTTTAGTTGAAAATCCTAGATCCGCTAAATCACTCGGATTCTTCCCCAGCGATGAAGATTGAACCAGATAAATATTCCTCGTTCATGGTTTACTGAACAATTAATGAATGGAAGCACAATATAATTCTATAATACCCGGTTAATCGAGCTACACTTTTTTAAAATAATAAACATGATGGCTCGAGAAAGACACCCATTTGCAAATCAATTTGGTTTTCAAGAGAGACTCAACTGAATCTCTCGTTTATGATATTCTGCAACTCAATGTGCTGCACACAGGCCGCCTCATGATTCAGTTGGCACGATATTCGAGATATCGAAGTATATTTTCATAAAGGAAACTACTCATAAGAGTTTTCAGCAACCTTGTGTGTAGTTTCCTTTATGAAAACATGATGGCCCCTTTCTGAGAAATATTTAGTCTACATCGAAATGTTTTAGGCGCTTTGTCAACATTTACACAGGCTGACTTATTTCTGACAAAATATTTCATCGCTGAAACCGTCGCTTATCAACGTGGCAGTCTGAAATTCGATGATGGTCGCATCAGAATAGCTGAGAGATTCAGGTGATTTTAAGTATATACAATCGTAAGAGATCGGAATCAGTCGTGGGCTGTTGAAGAGTTTTTAGAAATCTTGTGAGTAGTCTCGCTTATGAAAATCGTAGGAGTCATTTTTGGTGGACAAGAGTGATGGAGATTCCTTTGAAGTTCGGTCAAACGCTTTTTGAGCAAATAATGGACATGGACAAAAATCACAAGCAAATAACAATAAGAACTCCCGATATAATGAACTTATATAGTTGCAGGTTGGGCCACTGTATCACTTTTATGCTGAAAGTACATCTGTCAGACTAATCAAGCAGTATTAGACACATCCAGACTCATCATAGCCGAACAAGGATCAATTGGGATATCCAGTGACACCAATGTCCTTGGCCCCCGAAATAAGACATCGCTCATTGTGTTAACAGCTCCACCCTGCCCCATTTTGAACCTGACATTTTGCAAATCGGTTCAGATACAGAGGGGTGACAAAGAATGAGGTCCCTACTAAAAGACTGGTTAGGGAACAAATCGGGATCATAGCTGTATACGCATTTTCGTGCTAAAGATATAATGCTTTCTCATTGACCGCTAATGCTTAGTTGTAAAGCATCAACTTACTTTACCACATGGGAAACAGAAGCCTTGTAAGACGCATCCAGATTATATCCTTCTGACAGTGTTATTGTATCATATATAGGCTTGGAAACAAACAATGCGGAATCTTCCAGGGATTGGGTAGCAAGCTACATCACAGAATAAGCTGTTATTTGTTCTGCTGAGATACTATGGCTGGCATGCTGATAAATCTATGAGGAGCATCCACGACTTACCAGTGCTTTGGCGGAAATACTTTCTCAGATATGTCGAGGAAAAGATTTTGGGCGAATGAACGTTTTTCCGCAAATTGTCCTCAAGAACTTACGTACACATAGGTAAGACAAGCCAGTTAACTCAAAAATGTCCACACAACCTGAAATCGTCAACTCGAATATTATAAGAGTTAGAGACGTACAACTGAGAGGAGGAAGAAGAGACTATATGATCCTTCCGGGGCCAGGTCAGGAATCGGGGTCAGCCAGGTTAACCGATAGACCTTTTGGTATCTCCTGATCACTGATAGCAAGGCTGAACCATCAAGCCGTTGTGAACGAGGAAAGTGAATCAGACACCTTTGGATGCACAAACGAAGTCAGTGCCCGCGCTGTTTAGCCATGCTCATAAGTGAGGATGACTTGGCTGATGATATCGAGCCAGCTTGAGAAGCAAAACCTTTCTAGGGAAACATTATAGCGGGCAGCTTAATAGGGATATGGATCTGAATAATGACAGGATGGCTTGATTATTTACTTCATCCAGTTGTTAAGACACCTCGGGGTTACTAATGCTTGACGTGGGTCATTTCACAGTTTGAGACACCCCCGTCAGAATGGTGCTTTTACATGAGACTGTAAATCTGCAGGAAGTCCACGACAAATAACTGACTGCAAATCTGAAAACATACATAGTATACCTCATGTATTGGTCAGTAAGTGTTGTTCACTGCACATGCCGTGAGTGAAAGGTGGGTAAAGCTGGGCACCCAGACACTCGTAGAAAGATAGGTTAATTCGCCAAATACGGTCACCTGCACACGAGTCTGCTTTTTACGTGATTCTCAACTGAGTCCCAGCTCCATCTCTGCTTCATTATAGGCCAAATAATCTGCAGTGGGTGGTAGTGTAGCAGCAAAAAATTGCCTGAATCCGGCTTATCATAATCGACGTCTCCTATCCTTTATGTCATAATGAAGTCCAAGCGCATTCTGGCGAAAAAATGGGACTCGCTGGTGTCTCAACTTTTCTGGTGACACTAATGGAAGACACATTCATCGTGCCATCCGAAATTGTCTGCAAGTTTCCCGCTTAAACAGCTGGAATCGGACCTCTGAAATTCACTTGTGGCAGCGGTGGAACTTTCACTGAGTTGAGTTTAGGTTCTGAGGATATTGTATTCTCCCTCGGATACACCAGTGGGCTTGATATATGATTGTGACCAAATAATCCATAGACATCTAGGCTGTATGTCGGTTAACTTAGCCATCCATCCGAAATTGTCTGCAAGTTTCCCGCTTAAACAGCTGGAATCGGACCTCTGAAATTCACTTGTGGCAGCGGTGGAACTTTCACTGAGTTGAGTTTAGGTTCTGAGGATATTGTATTCTCCCTCGGATACACCAGTGGGCTTGATATATGATTGTGACCAAATAATCCATAGACATCTAGGCTGTATGTCGGTTAACTTACAAAAGGTCACTTTTTTACCGATACTTCATATATCATCACATTTGGCTGGTGGCTGTAAGACTGGTTTTGAGAAGCTGATGTATACTAAGGCAGGCTGGACCACCCAATACGACCTCCTCTATTTTCCGGTACATATGCCGCCAAAACAGAGCTAACTAACTGATCTCATATAACGTTTTGGTCAGTCTAACAGGTGCGCAGTCCCATCAGACATCAAATAAACTGCTGTCCAGTTACCTTCATTTCTGCTCACCCAATGTTGAAAGGCGAGATACCAGTGTTGTTCTACCTAAAATGCTCCGAAAGGGGTCTTAAACTGGGCTGTGTATCATCTGTTATTTTGAACTTTATCCGGCATTTTGCATTAATCTGTTTCCGGTGGCTGAAGATTTTCGGAAACGTAGGTTTTATTTATATACCAGGTTGTCATAGCTATTTTGCATTCTCTGTCGTTGTAATACGAAAGCCTAACTAACCAATCCAAGGCTTAGTATCCTGCATTATTCACTTATAATCTCTGTTTGTAGAAGGTACCCAGAGGTCCCGCAGTGAACATAAACATTAGCATAGAGAACGGCCATTCAGGACTGAGAAGGTTTGATATGCGACGCGCTGCAATGCTGAAAAACAAGCGAGCCATTTGGAAATTGCTCGATCTCTCGAATGCGCAAAACGCAGACGCAAGAGTCCTTACTGGATATGCTTTGTGGGCCACCAGCGTACTTACCGGCCCATCCGAGGTAAATTTGTTGCTTTGTTGAATTTCAACCTACCCGACACTGTCATCCTAAGGATGATAGCATTATCAACCACAGATTGAGGGGATTATCAGCAGATTATCCATTATCGCCCCGATCGTGTAATAAGGGCAGCTCTCGGTAAAACCTCCACGGTGCTATAATGTTATCACAATGAAGATTAAAGGAATTGACGAATGATACCAGTACCCTGATGATAAACAGAGAACTTGTGCTAAGACCCATTGTTTTTTAATTAGATTTAGGCCGGTTGATGGCTTGCAACAGGCCTTATCAAATTTACTCCCCGATCTTGATCTTTCGGGTTTAGATTGACGCCCAAAGACTGAAGTTACCACGACATTCTGTTCCACTCGAACAGTCAGTGACCTCTCACTATGCACAGGATCCCAGTGATCTTATCAAACTCAACCGGAGTAACCTATTCGGATGCTAGCCATCTATATAAATTTTACGGGACCCTAAACACCTTTTTTATATCAAGTTGTGTTGTGGTACAGTGCATGTTCCCTATAACAACCGGTCA